GAGAACTATGTGTCACAGATGAAATTACATAAGGGGCTGAATTTATGATCTGAGTCAATATAACGTGACTAAGGGCAGCTGGAACAGTAGATTTTGCATCACCCTGGTTTTGTCTTGTGACATTTTCTATGAACTCTGACATCGCATCTGGAATGAACACTGCCTTGAGGAAGGAAAATATTTAGAGTGGCCTGAGTGCAGATCTCAGGCCTCCAGACCTGCTGTACATATCTGCTCATAACTATGATGCTTACGTTTTTACTATATGAATAAAAATGGTGTTACTGAATATTTGGATGTAATTTTGACTTCCTCCAAATCAGTAGACAGTTATGTCTGTGCTGTAGTGCAGTGCCATGAGAAAGAGAAGACCTTCAAGGTCTGGCTGCATTGCAGAATCACCCACAGCAGATGGAGGCCCCAGGAGGAGCAGTTGGAGCAGCCCAAACTCACACTTTTGCTTTCCAGAGTGGTTTATGTGCAGGCTTGTATCACTATGGAAGGCCAGTTGCTGTACTGTTTACGGTACTAAGTAGCAACATCTTCAGCTTGCACATCACTGGTGGTGAGAGTGAATGATGTCCCAGATCCACTGCCCTTGAACCCGCAGATTCTAACGTGGATGCCTTATAGATCAGGAGCTACTAGGAAGTTGCCCTGGTTTCTGCTGATATTAAGCTAACCAACTGCTAATAGTCTGACTCTCTTGGCTTAACAATTGATGGTGACTGTGTCTCCTGCAACTGCAGATAGCAGGGACAAAGACTGCATTAGCTGGATAGCACAGCTGGTACCTGATATGGGAAACAAACATTCACTCTGATCATGTTATTAAAGGAGAGATAGGAAGATTCACTCAGCACTGACCACACTGGCTGTGTCAGTTTCTGTTCCTTCCTCACCTGGGAGCCAGAGCAGCAGGAGGCCCAGGAGCTGAGCAGGAGCGCTCATGTCCATGCTGTATTCTGACTGGCACTAACTCCTGCCCAATCTATGAGCACCTGTTCATAAGTGTGCAGGCCAGTGGGCTGTACCCTGGGGACATGCAAATCACCAACAGCCGGACAGCATTATACAAAGCTGAAGGGTCGAACTCATCTCATCATTTAGCTCAGGGACAGTATTCACCTACTCAGACCAGGGCTGCTCTAATTTATCTGCAGAGAACAATTGTTCTTCCAGATCACATATAAGTTACATTTGCCAAACTTTAAATGAACCAAAGGACAAGACAATGTAATGTGTTTGTATAACGTGGCTATGGTGTGATTTACAGGAGAGCAACTTTGGCAGAAAATATGTAATAACATGCAGGGGTTCTCCTGAGATTGTTGCAGGAAGATTAGCGTCTCAGTTCAAAGCCAGATGAACACAAAACTCAGCAATCTGTTGTTTTTGTTGCAGAATGGCAGTGGCATTGATGCCCATATTCTTAGGATGGTAAAGGCTATAATTGGGATTCTAATAAAATAAATACAAGTATTTCAGCTTAGGATATATATATATATGTGTGTTTTATATATGGCTTATCTTTTAATTTATCTTTTAATGAATTCACAAGGATGCTATTTTATGCAGAATTCAGGCAGAGCCATTCCTTCACTTAATTGAAACAAAAATCATGTCTGTATTGCAGTGCCAAGAAGGAAGCAAGAGGGAAGACACCACATGACCTTACGACTGCTTACACTAAATATTAAGTAACTTTCAGGTCCTGGCCACATATGAGAATAACTCTCAGTGATTCAGATGGAAGCCCCAGAAGGAGCAACTAGGGCAACCCAAACTCACACTTCTGCTTTCCTGGGTAGTTTATGTTAGGGCTTGTATCGCTGTGGAAGGAGTACTATAAGTCTGCAGACAGTAGTAAGTGGCAGCATCTTCAGGCTGCACACCATTGATGGTGAGAATGAACTCTGCCCCATATCCACTGCCTCTGAACCTCGATGGGATACCAGATTGTAAAATGGATGCACTATAGATCAGAAGCTTAGGACAGTCTCAAATACAGAATAAAACATGGCCATGTCAAGGAAGATATTTAAAGACATATTGAGTTGGGTTCAAATCCAAGATCTCCACACTAGTTCACCCTGAGTTTTGGGCAAATAGTCCATGTGCTCTGAGCTGTGAATGTCAGGAGAAGAGAATTGTAAACCATCCATCTGCACCTGCTGGCAGACTCATGGACAAAGGTGAGGACTGGGGGGAAGTATCCACTTCAAGGCTGAGGACCATGGGGCTCAGCAGCCTGTTGCATCCTTGGCAGAGGGCAATGGATTCTGAGAGAGCACAGAGTCCCACATTTCAGGGAGGACCTTCCCAGATCCCCATATTTCCAGGATATTGAAGGCTATTATGATGGCTCAGAGTTGCTTTGCTGTCACCGTCCCACCTGTGAACAGGTGAGTGCTTGTAGAGACATTGGCATGACTCAGTCTCTAAGCTCCCTGACTATGTCTGCAGGAGACATGTTAGCCAGCAGCTGCCAGTGAGCCAGAGTGTTTTAACCAGTTCTATCCAGAAAAACTACCAAAATAAGTACCAGTTGAAACTGAAAAGATCTCATAATCTACTCATCTGTTTATTGGTCAGCTTAAGCATCTGTGATCCCTGATAGATTCAGTGGAAAAGGGTCAGGGACAGATTTTACTCTCACCAGCAGAAGCCTCCAGTGCGAGGACATGAGAGAACACTGCTGTTGGCAATGGGAGAGCAGTCCTCTCACAGGGATACAGCCTCCAACACAAACCTCCTCCCCAGGGCCTCCGGGGAGTGAGCTTCTGCTGTCCCAGCTGCTTCCTTCCTGCCCTGCTCTGTCGCTCCCTTGTCTGTAGAACAGATCCTGTCTTCTGTTTCACTGTGGGGAATGTGCCTGTGACCAAGGAGGATTGAGTGGGACAGCCTGTCGTGGGTCTTTTGCACCAGGAAACCAGGATATGAAGGTCTGTAAGGACCTGCCATGAGCGTTTATCTGCTTCATTAAGAACTCGCTTTTGGTTCTCAGGGTCTCAGTTGTCTGTAAGATAGCCTTTGCCTTAGCCACTGAACCAGTGACAGCCCCATCTGCCTCAGAGGAATAGAACTCGGGGATGGAGTAGCTACGTCTCCCATGTGCCTGCTGACACTGAACCTTCCCATTCCCATTTCCTGTTCCTCTCTCTCTCTCCTTCTGATGCACCATTAGATTTAATCCTCAGCACTGGGTTTTCAGGCTCTTCTTCTGCCCTCTGCCCTTCAAACAGCCTCTTCTACCTGTCCAGTGTTCTGAGTTTGCATTGTGTGTGTGTGTGTGTGTGTGTGTGTGTGCGCGCGCGCGCGCGTGTATGTGTGTGCTGGTCTTTATCTCAGAACTGGAAACAAAGCTCTGATCTTGGGAATATAACTTTAAATGACAAAAGGATTTGACAGAATTATTAGCTAATTAATTTACTTTGGAAATCATTCTGAACTTTCTGTAAGATAGCATAGAATATAATCTTCCATATAACAGATGGCTGGGTCTAGGTCAGAGGGCCCAGGTGTGATAGCGGAGAAGATTGTTAGAGTGAGGAGAGGGAAGGGACACAGAAAAGGGCACCGAGAACATCTTAAAGCCATAAGAACAGACACTTGAATCCTCCCCTCTGGAGCTACCAGAAGCAGCACAGCCCTGCAGCCTCCTGGGTTTTATCCCAGAGAGGCCTCTGACAGGGAATATGGCACAGTGTGTCGCTTGACATCATAAACAAGTACAATCATTGATAAATAATAGTTTCCAACTAATACAAAAAAAACCCCCATAATTTCATCCCCTGGTACAACCTCTGTAATTGACTTACCTCTGAGATCCTCAAATGTCACTTTGTGCTCATTTCGTGTTACTTTGACTATATAGTGGGTGATAGGTGGGAGCACACATTGCTCTTCCTCAAATTATCTTAGTGATCTCTTGGGGACAAAGGAGTGTGAAAGCCTAGGGCTCAGCTATCAAAGGGTGTGTGGAGGAAGAGGTTCTGATTTGTTTGCTTTTCAGTTTCCATATTAGGAGGAGAAAAAAGATGTCAGCAAAGTTGAGAGAGTAGAGCTGAGTCTGAGAGATGAGAAGAGACATAGCAGGTGGGCAAAGATGGAGAAATATGAGATACTTCTTTCCCTACAAATCTGAACTGTAATCTCCACCATTTTGTGAAGGTTAGACGCAGTTGTATGTGGCAGGATGAATGCAGATGGGGTGGATTAAAGATCAGGAACAACACGAAATCAAACAGGTCCACATGATCCCTGGATTTCACATCACCTTGATTTTCTTGTACTCTGTCTCTAGTTACAGCCACAAATATGGTGTGAGTATAGCCATGTGGTATAAAGTATTTAAAAACATATTATCCTGAGTTGACAGTTCACCAGGGGTCTTGGGGCAAACACCACCAATGCCCTGAGATTTGAATGTCAGGAGACATATTCAGTACTTTCAACTGCATCTGCAAGCAGAACCAAGAATGAAGGACTAGAGAAGCACATGGAGGCTGCAGGCAGCTTAGAGCATCAGCTCGAGGGCTGAGGACCCCAGCGTCACCAACCTCATCCTTCTGTGGCAGATGGGTATTGGATTCTGGAAGAGCACAGAGTCCCATCTTTCTAAGATCATCGTCACTCATCCTCACATTCTTAGAACATTAAAATATAATTTGGATTCTAACAAACACTATTAATGTTTCTGCTTAAAAGATCATAACAATTCCCTCTTGACTGTATGAATCCACAACGATGTTGTAACATTGAGTACTAAGCATAATCACTTCTTTCCTTTAAATCAATAGAAACATGAACATATCCATGATGCAGGTGCCACAGAGGGAGAAAGAGAGGCTACAAAAGAAGTCCCAGGAACATTTGTTACTTTCAGGGACCAGTGAAGTCTGACTGCATCATAAAATGACTCCTAGAAGATGGAGGCCCCAGGAGGAGCAGCTGGGGCAGGCAAGGCTAACACTTCTCCTTTCCTGGGTAGTTTTTGTTCAGGTTTGTATCACTGTGGGAGTACAATCAGCTTCACTACAATCATATCCGCCTTGACAGTAGTAGGTTCCTGCATCGTCAGCCTGCACCGGGCTGATGGTGAGAGTGAATGATGTTCCAGATCCACTGCCCTTGAACCTTGAGGGGACCCCAGACTCTAAAGTGGTTGCAGCATAGATCAGGAACTTAGCAGGCTGCCCTGGTTTCTGCTGATACCAGGAAAGAAAAATGCTGAGCAAAACACTCTCACTTGACTGGCAGTTGATAGTGACTGTGCCCCCTACATCTGCAGACACCACGGATGGACTCTGGGTCACCGTGGCACATCTGGCACCTGAGAAGGGAAACACAGACACAAACATCCTCTCTGATTATCATGTTATTATTGGAGTGACAAGAAGATTTAATCAGCACTGATCACACTGGTTGAATTCAGGTTTTGGTGTTCTTTCTCACCTGGGAGCCAGAGCAGCAGGAGCCCCAGGAGCTGAGCAGGCACCCTCATGTCCATGCTGAGTCCTGACAGGCACTGACTCCTGCACAGGCTGTGAGCAGCCTGCTCATAAATCTGCAGGCTAGTGGGCTGTGCCCTGGGGACATGCAAATCTGAAGTGGAAGTGATATTTTTGTGCAAAGCAGGAGGGACCAGCTGATCTCATCATAACTGAGCACCAGGGAAATGTCTCCAGGTACCAGGTCAGCCCCGGGCTGCACTAATCTACTTGGAAACACCATGGAAAGGGGAACATCAGAGCCTATGAAACGTTGTTAGAAAATTAAATGCAATAAAAATAAATAAATAAATAAATAAAAAGATAACACCATGATCCTCCCTGGACACATTATATGACATAAAGCATTTGAGGAGCTTCTGACAAACTCTAAATGAGCTGAGGGACACGGTGGTGTCATCTGGTTGTATTTCATGGCTTTGTATCAATTTATAGGAGAGCAACTTATTGTTAGAGAATATACAGTACTTTCTTATAAGAAAATTGTATGAATTCTTGAACCTGTCCTAAAATTCTTCTCCTATTTTGCTTATTACTTATAGATTTCTGCGTTCTGAAGTTACTTTATTTGCTCTATTTAGATGACAGGAAAAGATGGATTCATAGATATTTAGAATGTGCAACACAATGACACTCATTCGGTGTTAGACTCTGAATAATGAGAAGCAATCTACTGCAGATAAATGCACCATAATATAGGACAGGGCTCTTACATCCAGAGAGTAACTGGGATGCCCCTTTGTTGATATGAGGGTTTCTGCAATACAATTTTTCTGCCATTGTGTCTCATTTCCTGAACTTCATCACCATAAAGCTCTGACTACTGATGTGAAATTCAATAAGTACAACTATCAGCAGTGTTTGCATTCATCTATAGTTTCCTGGAGTAGGACCTTTAGATGAGTTCACACTTGAAACAATTCTCTGTAAAAGACTAACAAACCCCAGGGGAGTCTCCTGGTTAGTTTCTCTGACCTGCAGCATCTATTTCTCGGGTGGTCCATCTCTGGAGAACAGTGAAGAACAGTAGAAAGATCAATTTATTAACCCTCCCCCCATCTTAGTGGAGCTTACCAGCTTTTTGGTACAGGCCCAGGTGGCACACTGTACTTTGCTCAGTCATTGTTTTTATCTGGGTGAGGACAGGGTGGGAGCACCTGCCTTCTCCCTACCCAGGACTCTCCAATTTGTCAAGCTAGTGACAATAACATAAAGCAGTATCTTAGATTCCAATAGATTTAGATTCAGATTTGCACCCTTGAATCTCACACATCGATCCTTTGCTCCATTCACTCATTCTGCATCATTAGAATGTGTCGAGGAAGTCATCACCTCGGTGTTAAGGATCCTGGGTACCAGGGCAGTGATGGGTATCGAGCACATGAGCACAGGTAAACAGCTCTGGGCTACAGACACATCAGATCTCCTGCTGTCCACTTGGGTTCTGATTTTAGGGAACCGCATGACAAAGAGCCTATCAGGATGAAAGAGAAGAAAGCTGCACTTTTAGACTGAATACTAACAGGCAGGGTAACAGGACCATCCTATCTTTTCCCTTCACCTTCAGTGTTCCTCTGCTGACTCCCTCTACTCCTGCCTGAGCTGCACTGAGCTCTCTGAGCTGGGGAGGAAGCTCCACCTGCACACATGCACTCACTTCTCCCTTCTGAGTGATAGGAAATTTAAGAAAATCAAGAAAACTTTAATTTTTTTGTGCCAATCTGTTAGTGTTCTGAAGCATGAAGTCCATCTTTATTACAAAACCAAAATGGCTCAAGGCTCACAGTGTAGACCAGAGAAATTCCACTGGAAGCAACAAATACAACTTCCCAGCATCAACCTCAGAGTAGGAGCTGGATCTCAAATGTCCTCCAGCACTGTGGAGGACATTTAGCTGTGGAGGACAGCTACTTTTCACCTGTGAGAGTCTTCCTTGTGGTTTTGTCTGATTTAGAAGAAGGCAGTAGTAGGGAGGAATACTACCCCAACTAAGAGACATCCACATGCTAAGGTCTGCATCTTGGGAATGTTACATTAAATGTCAGAAGGTATTTGTCAGACTAATTAGCTAAGGAATATCGTCTGGGTTATCTACTGACTGTTAATATAATACAACAAAATCTTCCTCACAATAGGGGGGAAGTCAATTGAGAGACCAGGTGTGACAGTGGAGAAGGTTGTTGGAGTGAGGGGAGGGAGGCACCACAGAGCGGGAAACATGGGGCATCCTGACGCTGAAAGAATGGGGACTTGGATCCTTCCCTCTGGAGCTGCCAGAAGGAGCACAGCTCTGCTGCCTGCTTGGTTTCATGACAGTACGGCCTCTGACTTCCCGGACTGGGATGACGACACATTTGTGGGTTTAATATCTAAAACAATATTATAATTTATTACAGCAATTATCACCAATACAAATACAGATGGTATTATTTACATCCCTCAGTGAGTATCTTTTGAAATCCTCAATATGCCATTGTGTCTCCCACATTTGCACCAGGGATATAGACTGGGTCATCTGGATGGCACAATTGGCACCTGAAATGGGAAACATGAATACACACATCCACCCTAAATGTCAAATTATTAGAGGAGAGAAAGGAAGACTCAGGCAGCACTGAGTACACTGGAGGAATCACTTCCTGCTGTTGTCCTTCCTCACCTAGGAGACAGAGCGGCAGGAGGGCCACGACCTGAGTAGGGACCCTCATGTCCATGCTGTGTTCTGACTGGCACTGACTCCTGCACAGTGTATGAGCAGCCAGCTCGTAAGTGTGTAGGGCAGTAAGTTGTGCCTTGGGGACATGCAGATCAGCAGGGTGAGTCAGAGGGGGATTCCATTAACTGAGTGATTCTGCAGACATGGAATGTCCCTGGGGGCCCAAGTCAGACTCATTGTTACACACAGGTTTTCCTGCTGAGAATGTATCCTGCTGCCTACCATACATTCCATGCTGGAGCCTCAGTTAATTACTGACACTCTCTGTCCCCTGTTAGACCTCAACATGCATTCAGAACAGCTCCGTCTAGACGGAATGCTTTTACTCCTGAATCCACTGTTTTCTGAACATGCCTATTGTGCCAATCACTGGTTTTAGGACACAGAGGGCCCAGGTAAGGTGAGAAAAGAAGCTGACAGGAACTTGGGGGGCAGAAGCACTGGGGTGAAGCAGGTGATCTCATACGGGAATGCTGAGGCTGTTGGCACACTGGGCACGTCCCCGAGGGGAGGACAAGGATTGAAGACACAGTGGCAGGAGTCTTCTGGGAAGGAGTCAGAGCCCAAGCAGGGTGAGGAGGACACTTACCCAGAGGACAGCAACAAGATGGTGGTCATGGACAAGGTATCAGGGAGGAGCAGGGGATGGGAGAGACACAGGGAGTTGTCTTTCAGGAAGGTATTCGAAATGATGACAACCACTAACTTGTTCAAATCATTAGAGTGAGAACACTCACTTTTTATTTTTATTTTATTTTTTTAAAGATTTATTTATTTTTATTACAAAGTCAGATATACAGACAGGAGGAGAGAGAGAGAGAAAGATCTTCTGCCTGATGATTCACTCCCCAAGTGACTGCAACGGCCAGTGCTGTGCTGATCTGGAGCCAGGAGCCAGGAGCCAGGAACCACCTCCAGGTCTCCCACATGGGTGCAGGATCCCAAAGCATTGGGCTGTCCTCAACTGCTTTCCCAGGCCACAAACAGGGAGCTGGATGGGAAGTGGAGCCACCGGGATTAGAACCGATGTCCATATGGGATTCCGGTGCGTTCAAGGCAAGGATTTTAGCTGCTAGGCCATGCCACTGGGCCCAGAGAATATTCACGTTTTGAGAAGCATTACAGAAAAAAGAAGATTATTTAATTGTGACTTGCATAACAGAATTAAAGATGTTCTTGTAAACTCCTGGTTTGGGGAGAGACTGAATGTTTCATTGTTGATGTGCAAAGACAAATCAATAGATCATTCCTCATGCAGGCAACTGACCACCCCACCACAGTTCCAGATAATACCCAAGCAAACTAAATTCGCTGTCCCCATAGAATTCATCATTTTTCATTTAAAAGAGACAACTATTCTTGCAGAAATGCCTATTTCTTGGTCAAGGTATATGAGGATCCTGGATTATGCTGAAACTAATAAAATAAAGAATGGTGACATCTTGGCAGAAGGAAATAGGGGCCCATTTGAATTGATTTCAATTAGTTATATGTGGGGAATTTCAGTATAAATGAATTAATGATGGCTACATAGCCCATTGAGGAAAACATGAATCCATGTTTTCACAATGATAATTCAATGATGAATGAGATACTCATAAAGTAATAGCAAGCAACATTTTGCAAATTCTTATAAATCACAATAGGAATTACAAAATCCAGATAAATGGTAAAATCCAGATGGAAACCAAACATTGCCTAGAGGGGCAGGTTGACAGACATCGAGCAGCACCTGACAGGGTACAGGCAAAACCGAGCACTGTGTCTACATTACCTCCTTCAAAGACAGAATTCGGTCTCTTCAACATTCCACATGTTAATGTCATAAACACCCAGTTTTGCTATCAAATCGGAGACTATTGGACCAGGGCCAGTGTTGAGACACACAAGGCAAGTTGCTGGTGATATCAGTACCTCATATCAGTGAATGAGTCAGTCGGGTCCCAAATGCTGCATATACAATCAAGGTCCTCACTAATGTGCATGGAAAGGAGCAGGTGATAACCCAAGAACTTGGGTCGATGTCATACACATGGGGCTCAAGGATGGGTCACAGATGACTTTGTCCTGGCCCTATCCCAGCTCTCCTGGTCAACAGGAAAATAAACAACAGATCTCTTTCTCTCTTCCTCTATTGCTCAGTATTTAATCCTCAGTCTTTAATGTAAGTAAATAAATATTTTGAAGAACTGTTTTTTTCCCAGGAATGAAAATTAAATACAGTAAAGGTCAACCTACTGAAATTGGGGTCCACAGTGTTTAAATATGGGGTCAGAGCATTGGTTGCTGTCACTGACATGTCAGCTGGGTCCATGTACAGCAACAAGAGAAATTTTCAAAGCTCTTTCCTCAATGAGAGGACAACTTGGATGTCAGACCTTTAATGAGACTGCACCTCAGTTCACTTTTTCAGGTAGCACAGTGGTTGGACCGCACAGGTCCACTCCTCCTGCCTCTGCCCCTGTCCAACCTGCCACAGGAGGATGTCCTAAGTGCACCTGGACACCCTCTTCTCCACTGGACCAAGCATTGGTATTGCCCCATAGGAGGACCCTCAGGCAGAGCAGAGTGACCACTGAAGCAGAACATTGCTTGCCAGTTTATTATCTCTGCCGTCCACTTAAATAGATGTATGAGACAAAAGGTTCTCTGTAATTGTTCAAGACACTGCAAGAGACTGGTGCTTGGGTGCAATCGATGACACTGTTATTGGAGCAATTCTGTGACAATGTTGTATCTGATTGTGGATGGCATGCAGACCTGCTCTACCAGATTGAAAGTGGCCACAATGACAGAAAGGAAGATCAATGGAATAGAATAGAAGCACCAAAAGGGAATCCACACAGATACAGCCAATTAATCTTTGACAAAAAGACCAATGACAGCTTAAGCAAGTGGGAAGCACTCTTTAGTAAATGTTGTTGGGACAACTGGCTGATAGCCTGTAGAAACAAAAAGATAGACCCACATCTATCACCATACACTAAGATCCAATCTACATGGATAAAAGACCTAAACCTACATCCAGAAACCTTCAAACTCTTGCAAGAAAATGTAGGAAATACCCTGCAAGACCTAGGAGTAGGTACCGACTTTCTAAGAAGGACACCAAAAGCAATAGCAGTTGAGAACAGAATAAACAAATGGGACCTCATCAAACTAAGAAGCTTCTGTACAGCAAGGGAAACAATCAACAAAGTAAAAAAGCAACCCACAGAGTGGGAGAAGATCTTTGCACACGATATAGGCGATAGGGGGCTAATTGCCAGGATATACAAAGAACTTCAAAACAACCAAAAAACCAAAACAAACAAGCCACTCAAGAAATGGGCACGGGAAATGGGCAAACATTTCACAAAGGAACAAGTCCAAATGGCAAACAAACATATGAAAAAATGTTCCAGCTCCCTAGCAATAAGGGAAATCCAAATTAAAACATCGATGAGGTACCACCTAACAGCAGTAAGATTGGCCCACATAAACAAGAACACCAACGACGCTTGCTGGCGAGGATGCGGGGAAAAGGGAACCCTACTCCACTGCTGGTGGAGCTGCAAATTGGTACAGCCTTTATGGAAATCAGTCTGGAGAACACTCAAACAACTCAAAATCAGCATACCATATGACCCCGCAATAGCACTCCTAGGAATATATCCAAAACACCTGTTTTACGACAAACCAACATGCATCCCTATGTTCATTGCAGCACAATCAGTAATTGCAAAAACATGGAAGCAACCGAAATGCCCATCAGCAGAAGATTGGATAAGAAAGCTTTGGTTCATCTACTCCATGGAATACTACTCAGCTATTAAAAAAAACAAAATGCAGTTCTTTGTGGCTAAATGGGCACAACTGGAAACTATAATGCTAAGGGAAATGAGCGAATCCCAAAAGATTAGATACCACATGTTTGCCTTGATTTAACCTGTAATTTTTTGTTTGGTGGTTTGTTATTTTTTGAACCTGTCATTGATACTGTCTCAACCCAGATGTTTCGAAGAATGGAACTTGCATTATTTTTAACATATTGTTTACCCAATACTATGTCAATTAATTCCATAAGGTTGTATAATGATACTGAGGCCTTGTTGGGGCTTTTAACTGACTGGATCTTTACTCTGTTAGACCTATCTTCAGACCATAGAAGGTCTCCCCAAGAGGCCACTGAACTTATCTGGACAATAAGACGCTGAACTTTATGCTAGGCAGGTGTTTGCAAGCAATGAATCTCAACTGAACTTGAACTATGGTTATGCAACAAGGTGGAGGAATCCACCATGGGGGGATCCCCAGCGCCTATAAAACTGTACTACATAATATAATGTAAGCAACAATAAAAAAAAAAAAAGAAAAATAAAGGTTAATATAATGATATATGAAAAAAAAAAAAAAAGAAAGTGGCCACAATCTTCCCTACAACCGCGAGGGGGCGCCATGGACCGTTAATTTGGTAGTGATGGGGAATTTGGGAGGACTTGAGAACACTCAATAGCCCTGGTCTACCCTCCTGCAGGACCGTGGTTTCTCTCCTTTCTACTTCCTGAGTTTTTATTTTTATCTAGAGGAGGGATAAGCTTGTGAATATGAAGTAAACTAAGATGTCATTATCAAGATTGAAAGGAAATGAACAGAAGAGGGAGAGCTGGTGGGAGGGAGGTAAGGTGGGAAGGATGACTGAGCTCCACCCGAGCCTCTGTGGTCGCTGACAGATTCAGTGGCAACAGGTCGGGGACAGATTTCACCCTCACCATCAGCAGCCTGCTGCCTGAGGATGTCGGAGACTACTCCTGTGGGGACAATGAGCACAGTCCTCTCACAAGGATTCTGCCTCCTACACAGTCTTCTGTGCAAGAAAATATTTAAACAAATATCCACCTGAGTTAAAATTGCATTTACTAGTTCACTATGGGTCTGGAAGCAATGAATCCATGCGCCCTGAACCATCCATCAGCACCTGTAGGTAGACCCACTAATGAAGGACTGAGGAACCAGCTGTGAGGTTGCAGGCACCTGAGAGCATCAGCTCCAGGGATGAGGACCACAGAGTCAGGAGCCTGTTCCTTCTCTTAGGGGAGAATGCAGAACCCTATGTTTCTAAGATTACTGTCTCTTAGCCCCACATTCTCAGAACATGAAATATAATTTGGATTATAATAAACTCTATTTAATGTTTCTGCTTGAAAGGTCCATACCAATTTTCTTTTTACTGTATGAATGAAAGGCATAATGTAACATTGAGTACTCTGGCATAATCACTACTTCCCTTTAAATGAGTAAAATATGGACATTTCTGAGATGCAGATGCTAAGAAAAAGGAATGAGGGAAACTAGAAAGGAGTCCCAGGGGCCTTTCTAACTACTTTTCTGGGACCTTGGGAGACTTAGTGCATCAGAGAATGGCTGTTAGCAGATAGAAGGCTCAGGAGGAGCAGCTGGGGAAGCCCACACTAGCACTCTCCTTTTCTGGAAGGTTTTTGTTCAGGCTTGTATCACTGTGGTATCATTATGATCTTTATATACTCTAAAACAGTAGTAGGTTCCTGCGTCCTCAGCCTGCACCGGGTTGATGGTGAGAGTGAATGATTTTCCAGATTCACTGCCCTTGAACCTTGAGGAGATTCCAGATTCTAAATTGGATGCACCATAGATCAGGAGCTTTGGACGTTGCCCTGGTTGCTTCTGAAACCAGGCTAGATAATTGTTCTTGTAAACGCTCTGACTTGACTGGCAGTTGATGGTGGCTGTGCCTCCCACATTTGCAGACACCACAGATGGTGACTGGGTGATCTGAAAAGCGCATCTGGCACCTGAGAAAGGAAACACAAACATCTACTTTGTTCATTATCTTGTTACAGGACACAGGAATGATCTGGCAGCACTAAACATGCTTGCTGAATGAATTCTTATTATTGTCCTTCCTCACCTGGGAGCCAGAGCAGCAGGAGCCCCAGGAGCTGAGCAGGGGCCCTCATGTCCATGCTGTCTCCTGTGTGGCACTGACTCCTGCACAGGCTGTGAGCACCTGCTCATATGTCTACAGGGCAGTGGGCTGTGCCCAGGGGACATGTAAATCAGCTGCAGGAGAAGTGAGATTGCTGTGCAAAGCAGAAGAGCCCAGCTCACCTCACAACCGAGAACAGGGGTAGTTTCTCCAGACATTCAGGTCAGCCCCTGGTCTGTCATAATTTACCTGCAGGAAAGTTGATCCTCTCTGATACATGTTATGTGACAAAGCATTAATGTCACTTGGCAGACTCCAATGAATTAAATGACAGCATGGTATCATCCACTTGTGCTTACAACTTTGTTTCTTTTAACAGGAGTTCTAGTTGTTAGTAAAGAATGTGCATATGGGATTCTGGTGTATCCAAGGAGAGGTTTTTAGCCACAAGGCTATATTGCTGGACCAAAAGAAAAAAAATTTTAAAGATATATTTATACAGAGCAATCAAATCTTATGTATTGCTTATCCACACTTTCAGAAGTATAATGATGCCACTATACACACCTGCTTCCCAACAACTCTCTTTCTCTTATTTTCCTTTTAATTTTTATAATGATATGCATTGAAAGTACTTATAATCACAGCTTGTCCCTGAAAGTACTTATATTGGCAGCTTTTCGCACCAGTAAATAGAAAAATTCGGCAACTAGAAAGGAGAAAATCCACTGTTCTCAGCGGGCAATCCTGTCACTAACTCGACCTGAAGCATGGCTCCCCCTGGGGGTCACAGGGGAATTCATGTCTGCTTTGATTCTGGTAAAGCAGGTCTGCAAAAAATCCACAATCAGAAAGACTTGCACAAAGAACAGTATCATTATTTGCAACCAAATACCAGGATCACAGTCTCTCTTATTTAATCATCAAACAGCAAACAGAAGTCTTTATCTGAGACATGTTTCACTTACTGGTCAGAACAAATAATTAACAACTAAATTCTGTCTCTCTGCCCACTGTGCTCTGACAGTCGTCCTCTGAGCAACGCCATGGCTCGGGGCAAGTGGGGCAGAGGGTGTCCAGCTGCACTCAGTGCATCCTCCTGTAGCAGGTTGGATGGGGCAGAGGCAGAAGGGATGGATTGGTGCTGTCCCACTCTTGTGCTTCCTGAAAAAATGAAATGCGGTGCGGTTTTATCAATGGTCAGACATCTAAACTGTTCTTTGATGGAGAAAAGAGCTTTTAAAATTTCTCATGTTGGTTCACATGAAACCAGATGTTGATTATTTCCCAGATGTTGATGACAGATGTGCTGTACCAGGACATAGACCTCCCAGGTCCATCTCAGACCCCCAAGTGTGTGACAGGGACCCAAATATGTGGTCAACCATCTGCTGTTCTAGCCACGTGAGTGAGGACCTAGATCAGACATGGAGCATTTGAGACTCAACCAATTTCCTGGTTGATATGAGATACTGTTGTCCCTAGTAGATTAACCCACTGCACCTCAACATTGGCATGATCCATTTGTCTCCTATTTGGTAGCAAAGCTGGGACTACAACACTAAGATGTTAATGTTGTGCAAACAGAATTCGAGCAGGTAATATATGAAACGGTGCTCTGTTCTTCTCCCTGCACTCTGTCAGGTGGTGCATGATGCCTGTCAATCTGCCCCTTCAGTGGATGGAGTGAGGCTGTGTCTGCCAGAACTCTCCTCTGTAGACATTCTTGCTTTGTGTGATTTATAATATTTGTGAAAAGTTATTCATTATTACTTCATGAATATTTCATTTGTCACTAAAATATCAGTATTAATCACAGGTTTATATTTTCTTTAATGGACTATATTGCCATCATTAATTCATTTATACTGAAATGCTCCACATTGAACTAGTTGAGAATCCATTCCAAAGTGTTTCTATTTTCTTCATCCAAGATGCCATCAATATTTATTTTATTAGTCTCAGGCAAGTCCAGGTTTCTCCTAAAGTTGTTTCTGACCCCCAAAATGGGCATTTCTCCAAGAGCTGTTGTGTTCTTTAAATGAAGAATGATAGAATTGTATGGAGAAACAAGATTGGGATGCTAGTGTGCTATTTTCACCTGTGGGTGCTTTGGTCATTAAGTTGTAGGGGCAATGAGCTGCCGAGGTACCCAACCACATACACAGCCCCGCATTCATATCTCTACCCCAAAGCAGGAGTTTGAACTTAGAGCATTAAGTTGGTTCCAAAAATAATAATTTGTTGAAATAGTCTTCTTTTCTCTGTAATGTCTTTCTCTGGATGTGACAATACCACCTTTCCTTACTACTAATGAGTGTACTTATTTGATGAATCCCTTGTTTCAACCAATTTGTGGTTGTCATGATCTCATATACCTCCCTTGAAAGCAACTGCCTGTGTTACTTGCAATCACAGGCTGCCCTTCTCTGATATCACATTTTTGGTCAGCTGGGTCCACTCTATGAGTGTCCTACTCACTCTGCCTGGGCTCTGACCCCTGTCCAAGAGGCTCCTGCCATAGTGTGTTCACTCCTTCTTCCACCCCCAGGGACATGCCCAGTGAGCCAACAGCCTCAGCATTCCCACATGAATGCTTCATCCCAATGGAGCTCACATACTGTGTGCAGTGCTCTTCCAGCCATGTCTGGGACTACTTCTGTCTTAACCTTGTTGAGCCATTTACATCTTTAAAGCAGCTACTGCAAGCAGAGGAAGTGAAAGAGATGTGGTGATGGCACAATAGGCATGTTCAGAAAGCACAGTGGATTCAGGGATATGAGGGAGCACCCAGTATGGACAGAGCTGTTCTGAAGGCATGGCTAGGGCTAGGAAAGGACAAAGAGTGTCAGGAACAAACTGAAGCTCCAGGGAGCTTCTGACATGGAATGTGTGGTCATAAGCAGAGCTGAGGTAGGGGAGACCCACACTCCTCATATAGACAGGGAGAAAATTCCTGACTGTGCCTGGCCTTGAAGGAAGGCAGAGGCAGAGCATTTGAAGGGGAAGACAAATCACTTAGCTAATAAAATATGTCAGTGCTGACAGATGCAGCATCTCCTTAACAAACCCAGTTCTCCATCTTTGGAACCTGCAGAGCAGACATGACTTTGGGTTACTGATGAAAAAGGAAAGAAATAGCTGTGCTTGAATGCTTCACTCATGTGACAGCATCCCTTTGGATCCATAGAGCAAAGCATTAGCATTCCAGAAATAGCTTAAGGCATATATATATATGCCTAAATATATATATATATATATTTAGACCCTTTCATATCCTAGGATGTTAGGGTAAGAGATGGTGATTGTGGAAATGTGGGACTCTGTGCTCTTCCTGAATCTGGTGCACTTCTCTCACAGAAGGAGCAGGCTCTGATCCCTGTGGTCCTCAGCCTTCTAGCTGATGTCCTCAGTGTTGCCGGCAGCACTCACACATGGTTCCCCAGTCCTCAGCTTCATCCCTGGTTTGCCTGCAAGTGCAGAAGAATAGTGCAGCATTCTCTTCTTCTGACATATCTCTGAGCATGTGGATTTTGTGCCTCAAGTCTCATGATGAGTAAGAATGGAGACCTGGGATTTTCTGTTGGTGCAATATAGCCTTAAATATTGTCCTTCGACATAGCTATGTTCAGTCCATGTTTGATGTCAATTTCTACAGAAGTTGTCACCAGAGGAAAAACCAGGATGAACTGAAGCCCGTTTCTTCTGTCACTGTTGTCTTCCTGCTGGTCCAGATCCTAAATCCAGTCCATTCTGTCTTTCTGCCTGCTGTATACAGTTCTCTCAATATCTTATACATTCCAAGAATTTTGTTTCAGATTTGGGGGTAGGAGTTCAACTCACATTTCCTTCACCATTTCTTTATTGCTCCATTCACCTTTTAAAAGATTTATTTATTTTTATTGGAAATGCAGAACAGATTTTACAGAGAGACTGAGAGACAGTGAGAAGCATTTTCCATCTGCTGGCTCATTCTCCAAATGGCCACAATGGCTGGAACTCTGTGTCTGTGTGTGTGTGTGTGTGTGTGTGTGTGTGTGTGTGTGTGTGTGTCCGTGTATGTCTGTGCTGTCTCAGCTGCTCTTGGGGTCTCCAATTGCTGGTCTTGACTCTAATCTACAGTCAGGCTTGAAGGCCCAAGGCAGTTTTGGCCAGAAGAGGCCATGCTGTCTCATGTGAAGGCTGCACTGTTTCCAACGCTTTTGGTGATAGCAATGCAGATATGACTGTGTCTCTGCTGATTTAAAGCATAAAATTGAGGGCTCCATGTGACAGTATCTTTTTGGATTATTGCAGCATATACATAAGCATGAGAGATATTTGAGGCAGAAGTGGCTTAATACAGTTTCTTAGAATCTAAGCTGTACTTCTTTTGCACTTGGACTAGGGTATTGGAGACAGTGATTGAGCATGCGCCTGTACCATGGAAGGAACAGTCACCTGGCACTGTCACCTAGAAAATTTCTCTGCAAAAGACAAAGGAACCAGAAGGGAGAGTCCTGGTGAGTGTCTCTGACCTGCACTATTCTCCACTGGGCTTAGGTGGACCGTCACTGGAATTTTGTGCATGGAGAACAGGTGAGGAGTTAGCCCAGGGGAAAGAGCCATTTATGAACCCACTTAGAGGAGGGTGCTGCTGCTCTGTTCAGGGGCCACATTATGCCGTGAACGTGCCTCATTCCTCTGCTATTCCTTGGAGTCACGGTGGAGGCCCCAGGAGGAGCAGCTGAGGCAGACAACAGTAGTACTTCTGCTTTCATGGGAGGTTTTTGTTCAGGCTTGTATCACTGTGGTATCGTTATGATCTTTAAATACTCCAAAACAGTAGTAGGTTCCTGCATCCTCCTGCTGCACCCCGCTGATGGTGAGAGTGAATGATTTCCCAGACCCACTGCCCTTGAACCTCGATGGAACTCCAGACTCTAAATTGGATGCCAAGTAGATCAGGAGCTTTGGACGTTGCCCAGGTTTCTGCTGATACCAGGATAGAACATTGTTGTTGTGAACACTCTGACTTGACTGGCAATTGATGGTGGCTGTGCCTCCCACATTTGCAGACACCACGGATGGTGATTGGGTGATCTGAACAGCACAGCTGGCACCTGAGAAGAGAAACACAAACACAAACATCCACTCTCATCACCATGTTAACGAAGGAATAACTTCAGAAAGAACTGACCACATTGGTGAGTCAGTTCCTGCCGTTGTCCTTCCTCACCTGGGAGCCAGAGCAGCAGGAGGCCCAGGAGCTGAGCAGGAGCCCTCATGTTCATGCTGTGTCCTGACTGCCACTGACTCCTGCACAGGCTGTCAGCACCTGCTCATAAGTATGCAGGGCAGTGGGCTGTGCCCAGGGGACATGCAAATCAGCACCAGAGCAAATGATATTCTTGTACCAACCAGAAGAGTCCAGTTCATCTCATAACTGATCGTAAGCAAAGTGTCTCCAGATATTCAGGTCAGTTCCTGTTCTACAGTAACCTACCTGCAGAGAACATGATCTTTACTGATACATGTTATGTGACATAGCAGTAGGTACAGTTGACAAACTCCAACAAACCAAAGGACAGGATGGTATCATTCACTTGCATTTTACGAGTTTGTTTCTTTATACAGAATATATATTTGTTAGCAAAGAATCTACATATGTTCTTAAAGGATGGTGCATGCAAAGTGAGGTCTTTAGCCAGTAGTACCTGAGGAAGTAAATTCATTCATGTGACAGCATTCTTTTGGATCTGTAGGGCAAAACATTAGCATTCCAGATATTCTGATCAGAAATAGCTTAATACCATTTTTTTTTTTTTAGAATCTGAAGTGTGCCCTTTCATATCCTAGGAGGTTGGGGCAAGAGACGGTGCTTGTGGAAACGTGGGACTCTGTGCTTTTCCTGAATTTGGTGCACTTCTCTCACAGAAGGAGCAGGTTCTGATCCCTGTGGTCCTTAGCATTCTAGCTGATATCTTTAGTTGTCCACAGCATCTCTCTCTCTCTCTCTCTCTCTCTCTCTCTCTCTCTCTTCCTCTCTCTTTTAAGTTCTCAATGCTCAGGCTTCAATTTTCTGATAAGTGTTTTTCCCAGAAATAAAAATTAAACACAGTAAAGGTCAACCTACTAAAGTTGGGGTCCACAGTGTTTAAATATGGGGACAGGGTATTGGTTGCTGTCACTGACATGTCAGCTGGGTTCATGTACAGCAACAAGAGAAATTTTCAAAGCTCTTTCCTCAATGAGAGGACAACTTGGATGTCAGACCTTTAATGAGACTGCACCTCAGTTCACTTTTTCAGGTAGCACAGTGGTTGGACCGCACGGGTCCATTCCTCCTGCCTCTGCCCCTGTCCAACCTGCCACAGGAGGATGCCCTAAGTGCACCTGGACACCCTCTGCTCCACTGGACCAAGCATTGGTATTGCCCCATAGGAGGACCCTCAGGCAAAGCAGAGTGACCACTGAGGCAGAACATTGCTTGCCAGTTTATTATCTCTGCCGTCCACTTAAATAGATGCATGAGACAAAAGGTTCTCTGTAATTGTTCAAGACACTGCAAGAGACTGCTGCTTGGGTGCAATCGATGACACTGTTATTGGAGCAATTCTGTGACAATGTTGTATCTGATTGTGGATGGCATGCAGACCTGCTCTACCAGATTGAAAGTGGCCACAATCTTCCCTACAACCGCGAGGGGGCGCCATGGACCGTTAATTTGGTAGTGATGGGGAATTTGGGAGGACTTGAGAACACTCAATAGCCCTGGTCTACCCTCCTGCAGGACCGTGGTTTCTCTCCTTTCTACTTCCTGAGTTTTTATTTTTATCTAGAGGAGGGATAAGCTTGTGAATATGAAGTAAACTAAAATGTCATTATAAAGATTGAAAGGAAATGAACAGAAGAGGGAGAGCTGGTGGGAGGGAAGTAAGGTGGGAAGGATGACTGAGCTCCACCCGAGCCTCTGTGGTCGCTGACAGATTCAGTGGCAACAGGTCGGGGACAGATTTCACCCTCACCATCAGCAGCCTGCTGCCTGAGGATGTCGGAGATTACTCCTGTGGGCAGCATGGGAGCAGTCCTCTCACAGGGATTCAGGCTCCTACACAAACCTTCTCCCTAGGGCCACGGGGGAGTGAGCTCCTGCTCTCCCAGCTGCTTCCTTCCTGCCCTGCTCTGTCCCTCCCTTGTCTGTAGAACAGATCCTGTCTCCTGCTTCACTACAGAGTTCGTACTACTAAGTCTAGTGTGAGTGAAACAGGATGACTGGGTCATTGCACAAGGAAGCCAATCCAAAAAGACCATGTAAGGATCTGTCATGGGCCTTTCTGTGCTACATTCAGAGCTTTCTTGGCCTCTCAGGGTCTCAGTTGTCCGTAAGAAGGGCTTTGAGCATTGACCAGGTTACAGCCTCAGCTGCCTCTTAGGAGATAAAATCAGGGATGGAGCAGCTGCCTCTCCCCTGTGCCTGCTTACATTAAACCTTCCCATTTCCCTCCTTGGCTGACTCACCTGCTTCCCCCCCCCCCCCCTCTCTCTCTCCCCCCCCCACCCTTGTGGGTACCTTACTGGGTTTAACCCTTAGCAATGTGTTTTTAAGTGCTTTTCCTTCTCTTATTGCTCTGCCCTCCCAATCAGCCTCTTTCTCTCTCTGGAGATTATCATCAATTATTTGGCTGACAGTAATATAATATACTATAATATAATCCTCCTTAAAATAGGAAAGTAGGGCCCGGCGCGGTGGCGCAAGTGGTTAAGTCCTCGCCTTGCACGCCCGGGATCCCATATGGGCGCCGGTTCTAATCCCGGCAGCCCCGCTTCCCTTCCAGCTCCCTGCCTGTGGCCCCGGAAAGCAGTCGAGGACGGCCCAAGGCTTTGGGACCCTGCACCCGTGTGGGAGACCCGGAAGAGGCTCCTGGCTTCGGATCGGCATAGTATCGGCCCGTTGCGCTCACTTGGGGAGTGAATCATCGGACGGAAGATCTTCCTCTCTGTCTCTCCTCTCTGTATATCCGCCTTTCCAATAAAAAATAATAAAAATAAATCTTTAAAAAAAAATAGGAAAGTAATCTATTTCAAGGAGCAGGTGTGATAGTGGAGATGGCTGTTGGAGGGAGAGGAATGTGAGGCACAATGCAGGATACATTGAACGTCCTGAGGCTGCAAGAACATGGCCTTGGATCCTCCCCCTCTGGAGCTGCCAGGAGCAGCACAGCCCTGCTGCCTTCTTTTTCATCACAGCGAGGCTCTGACCTGAACTGGGATGACAGCAAACTGTATTATTTGACATCATAAATAGGATAGTAACTTAAAAATAATATTTTCAGCTAGTACAAATACAGATAATTTTGCCCCTTCCTTCCCCTAAAATTGACTGACCTCTGAGAACATCAAATCTCACTTTGTTCTCATTTGGTGTCAGTTTGGCAGAATAGGACCATAGTTGATTGTAAGGTAGGAGCACAGATTCCTGTCAGAGCGAAAATCTCTTCAGTGAATGGTATTAGTGATGCAGGGTCCCAAAGCTTTGGGCCGTCCTCAACTGCTTTCCCAGGCCACAGGCAGAGAGCTGGATGGGAAGCAGGGCCGCCAGGATTAGAACTGGCGCCCATATGGGATCCCGGGCGTGCAAGGCAAGGACCTTAACCACTGAGCCATCGCACCGGGCCCCAGAAGACAAATTCTCAACCACCCTGTAGGTAGACCCAGTAAAGAAGGACTGAGGAACCAACTGTGAGGCTGCAGGCAGCTGAGAGCATCAGCTCCAGGGATGAGGACCACAGAGTCAGGAGCCTGTTCCTTCTGAGCTAGAGAGCCATTGGATTCAGGGAGAATACAGAACCCCATGTTTCTACAATCACTGCTTCTGATACCCACATTCCTAGAAATTGAGAGTATAGTTTAGATTATAATAAACTCTGTTTAATGTTTCTGCTTGAACGATCCATACCAATTCCCTTTTACTATATGAATGAAAGGCATAAATTAACATTGAGTACTCTGGCATAATCACTACGTTCCTTTAAATGAGTAAAATATGGACATTTCTGAGATGCATCAGAGAATGGCTGTTAGCAGATAGAAGGCTCAGGAGGAGCAGCTGGGGAAGCCCACACTAGCACTTCTGCTTTCCTGGGAGGTTTTTGTTTAGGCTTGTGTCACTGTGTGTGTATAACTACCAGCAGTAAAATAAGCTCCTTGACAGTAGTAGGTTCCTGCATCGTCAGCCTGCACCGAGTTGATGGTGAGAGTGAATGATGTCCCAGATCCACTGCCCTTGAACCTGTCAGGGACCCCAGACTCTAAAGTGGATGCACTGTAGATCAGGAGCTTTGGACGTTGCCCTGGTTTCTGCTGATACCAGGATAATTCATTGTTGCCGTAAACACTCTGACTTGACTGGCAATTGATGGTGACTGTGCCTCCCACAGGTGCAGACACCACGGATGGACTCTGGGTTACCGTGGCACATCTGGCACCTGAGAAGAGAAACACAAACACAAACATCCACTCTCATCATCATGTTCATACAGAGGAGACATAAATATTCAGTCAGCACTGACCACAAGGCTGAGACAACTTCTGCTGTTGTCCTTCCTCACCTTGGAGCCAGAGCAGTAGGAGCCCCAGGAGCTGAGCAGGAGCCCTCATGTCCATGCTGTGTCCTGTCTGGCACTGACTCCTGCAAGGCTTTGAGCAGCCTGTTCATATGTCTGCAAGGCAGAGGGCTGGACCCTGGGGACATGCAAATCAAACAGGTGTAGTTATATCCTAGTACAAAGTAGAAGAGTCCAGGTCATCTCATAACTGAGCACAGAGGAAGTGTCTCCAGGCACCCAGGTCAACCCCTGGGCTGCACTGATTTACCTGCAGAGAACATGATCCTCTTTGAAAAATAGTGTGTGTTATAAGGCATTTGAGCAATCCTTTTTTTTTTGAAAGAATTACTTTATTGTAAAGTCAGATATATATATGGAGAAGAAGAGACAGAGAAGATCTTCAATCTGGTGATTCACTCCCCAAGTGGCTGCAATGGCTGGTGCTGCTCTGAACTGAAGGCAGGAGACAGGAGCTCTTCTACTCTCCCACATGGGTGCAGCCCAAGGCATTGGGCCATCCTTCACTGTTTTCCCAGGCCACAAGCAGGGAGCTGGTGGGAAGCGGGGTTGTCGAGAGTAGAACCAAAGCACATATGAGATCCTGGCTTGCTCAAGGTGAGGACTTTAGCCACTAGGCCACCATGCAGAGCCCAAGCAATTCTTGACAAACTCTAAATGATATCAAGGATAATATGGTGTCATCTTCTTGTATTTCATGCATAGGTTTCAATTTAGTGGAAAAACGTATTATCAGAGAATGTGCGCTACCATTCTATAGAGTAATTTTATACAGTTTTGATCCTACCCTCCAAATCTCCTCATACTTTATTTATTACTTACACAATTCAGTGTGTCTCAAATTATTTCATTTACCTTATTTAGAAGAGAGGAAGAGAGGGATAAAAATATATTTAGAAGCCAGAATTTAATGACAGACACTATTAGAGTCTGAATAACGGGAAGATATTTACTGCAGATAGATGCACCATAATATAGGAGAGGGCTCTTATGCCCAGAGACTAAATGAGCTGCCCCTTTGTTGACATAAGGGTCTTTTCAATAAAGTTCTCTGTCATTTGCTGTCATTTCCTGAACTTCATCACCATGAAGCTCTGACTACTGATGTGAAATGCCATAACTGCCACTATCATCAGTGTTTGCATTCATCGGTGAATAGCTGCTTTAGGAACCACATCTACATGAGTTCACAGCAAAAACCAAACTAAACCAAACCAAAAAACTCTCAGAATCACAAAAGAAAGCCCATGTTAGTCTCCTTGTTAGTTTCTCTGAGCTACAGTATCTCCCATTGGGACTCAAGTGGATCCACTCTGAAACCTGGTGGTGGACAACAGCTGAGGAGGTAGACCATGCTAAACAACCATTTGTTAACCCACCTAATGTAGATGAGGGCACCTGCTGCTTGGTGCAGGGCAAGGTCATGGACTGAAAGTGTCTCATTCTTCTTCCACTTTTTATCTGCGTCAGGGCAGGGGGGGTGCACTTGCGTTCTCCACTTTGCCAAGCTGAATCCAATAACCTGAACAGTATCTTGGATTCTAATAGACTTGGATCCTGATTTGCACACCATATCTCACATCTCTACCTTTGCTGCAGTCCCCCAGTCTGCATTATTAGAATGGGATAAGGGAGTCAGCAACTTAATATCCAGGAGCCTGGGGACCAGGGAGGATTTGGGTGCTATCAAGGCATGAGCACAAGTGACTAGACCATGGGGTACAGCCACATCACAAGATCTTGCTTATCACCTGGGACCTAATTTGTAAGGGAACCTGCCGACACAGAGCCTACCAGGATTGAAGAGATTAAAACTGCACTTCCAGATGTATTGCACACATCATTTATGGGGGAGGATAACCGGATCTCCCCGGCCTTCCTCTTCTCTATTCCTCTGCTGACTCCCTCCACTCCTGCCTGAGCTGCACTGAGTTCTCCGAGCTAGGGAGGCAGCTCCACCTGCACACGTGCAGAGCACAGGGCCTGGATGAGCAGCCCTTAGGGAACACTCTGTGCATGACAGCAAGAGGAAGTGTTGTGAATCCAGTTCCCTCACCTCTCAGAGGAGACAACCCTGAGGAGTCAACTTCCATATTAGGAGTTGGAAATAGAATCACAGAGAATATGAGAGGATAAACTGGAGCCTGAGCAATGAGAAGAGACAGATGAGCTAAGGGCCAGGGATGAGAGATATGCCCCTGGTAATATCTGCAAATAATTAATTAATTAATTGAAATAAAAATCTGGAATTTTAAAAAGTTTTTTTTTATTGCAAAGTCAGATATACAGAGAGGAAGAGACAGACAGGAAGATCTTCATTCCGATGATTCACTCCCAAGTGATTGGTGCTGTGCGGATCCAAAGATGAAGCCAGGAATTTCCTCCACGTCTCCCTTGTGGGTGCAGGGTCCCAAGGCTTTGGGCTGTCCTTTACTGTTTTCCCAGGCCACACGCAAGGAGCTGGATGGGAAGTGGAGCTGCCAGGGTTAGAACCGGCACCCATATAGGATACCGGCGTGTTGAAGGCGAGGACTTCAGTCACTTGGCCACAGTGCCAGGCCCAACATCTGGAATTTTGAGAGAATTTTATGGCATGAAAAACTTAAGCAGGGCTGGATTTAAGATTCTCATCGACATGGAATGAAAGTGTGGCAGCGGAAACCAGAGATTTCACATCACCCTGCTTCTGTCTGGTGTTTTCTTGTACACTGCGGCCTCCAATATAGAAAGAGCATGGCCACACGGAACAAAGATATTTAAATTTATATTTAGTTAGGGTCAAACCCCAGGTCTCTGCACTTACTCACCATGCACACTGGGGCAAACAACCCATGTAATCTGAGATGTGAACGACAAAAGAGAATTCTGTACCACCATGTGCACCTGTAGGTAAAATTGCAGGGATTAAGATGAGGACGGGGAACACCCATGAGTGCTTCAGGCAGCTGAGAGTATCAGCTCTAGGGCTGAGTACCCAGGGTTCAGCAACATGCTCCTTCTGTGGCAAAAGAAGGGAGAGAAGAGTGCCCACATGCTCAATCACTGTCTCTAACCCCCCTGCTCCTAGTGCGTTAAAACTACAACTTAGATTCTAATAAACTATATTAAGCTATTTCTAATTGGAATGCCTGCAATTCTTCCTTTTTTGCTGAATGAATCCAAAGGATGGTCTCACATGAGGTACTCATTTCTTCTTCTTTTTTTGATCAGTAGAGACACAGTCCTGTCTATGCGTCTATTGCCAATGAGTTGAAAATAGTGGCTGCTTCACAAACACCCCAAACACAAATGGCATCCATTATTGAGTGTGCTGATCCCATGTGTAAGTTTGTTGTTCTTATATGTCAGAAGAATACTCTGGCAATTATCCTGGATTATTGGAGAAAAATTTATCACATGACAAATTATAATATAATATTATACTATACTATAAACTTCTCCATAATGTGGTGAGGCAAGCCAAGGCCTTATATGTAATAGGAGACAAACAACAATGATTGTAAACTGAGGAAGTAAATTCCTCTTGGATTTAGAATACTTCGAGGGAAATATGTTAGTGATGTATATATACATATATATAGACAGAGAAAGAGGGAGAGAGATCTGTCTTTCCAACTCTATAATGCTTTGTCTTGAATGCGAATAAATAAATAATTTTAAAAATGGAGAGTGGTAGTAGGAGGGGGACAATTTTAAAAAGAAATAAATATGAAAATCAGTAAAAGGTATCCTGCAAAAGCTCAGCTCCACTTTTTAAGTATCTCGGATCAGGACACTGATTCCTGTCATTGACATACATGTCAGCTGGTTTCTTGCGCAGCAACAAGATACATTTTAAAAGGTCTTTTTCCTGAATTGAGGACAGCTTGGATGTCACATCACTAATGAACCTATATCTCAGTTCATTTTTTCTGGAAGCGCAGATGTTGGACCACACCGATCCATCCCTCCAGCCTCTGCCCGTGTCTACATCCATCCTGCCACAGGAGGATGCACTAGGTGGATGAGGACACACACTGCCCACTGGCCCCTGCAATGGTATTGCTGCAGAGGAGGTCCCTCACACAGAGCAGAGTGGGAGCAGAGGCAGCACATGCGTTGTCTTTATTATCTGTGCTGGCAGCAAAAATGAAAGATAAAAGGGTTCTATTTGATTTTCAAGATATCCCACATCTGAGAGAGGCTGCAATGCTGTTATTTGCTTGCAGCCAATAAAATTGTTATTGGCGCAATTGTGTGAGACTGTTTTGTTTGATACAGAATACAGACCTGCTCTATCAGCCTGAAAGCTGACATGATTTCCCCTACGACCTCCAGGGGGAGCTATGACCCCATCGATTAGGTAGTGAATCATGATTAGAGAAGATTCGAAACTCCAACAGCCCTGGTCTATTCACCTGATGAACAGCAGATTTTCTACTCTCTGCTTGTTGAATTTTTTTTTTTATTTAGAGGATGGATGACCTGGGAATATAAAGTAAATGCAAAGAATGTCAGTATAAATATTAAAAAGGAAAATAACAAAGGGAGGAGAAATGGTGAATGGGAAGGTAGAGTGGGAAGGATTGCAATAACCTTAAAGTCTCGTGAAATAAGTCCCCTTTGCATACATTAACTTATTGTGCTTCCAAATCAGAGTTACAGAGAGTTAGGGTGAGCTTTCAGCTATAGCTTTCAGCTATAGATTGACTTCCCAAATGATCACAACAGTAGGATTGGGCTGATCTTAAGTTGGAGGCAAGGAGCTTCTTCCAGGACTCTCTTGTGTGTGCAGTAGGCCAAGATCTTGTCAGTTATTTACTGCTTTCAAGGCCATAAGCAGGGAGCTGGAGCAGAAATTGAGCAGCTGGGCTTGAAACGTGGGAGAAGACTGAAACATGGAGGAAGAGCTTGCTATGCTAGAGCAAGGGTCCCATAAAAAGTCTTACACGTTCAAATAAAGTGATTCACAAAAGAAATTGTGATCAGAGTGACTGACCAATGTGCCTTGACATATTTTTTGAAAAGAGTTTTTTTGCTGAGGAAAGAAGTGAAGTGCATTTACAAGTACAAGAGCAACTTGAAATATACATAATAGACCAAAGACTCTGGGAGATATCGACATGCAGGCACTGCCTTTTCTACTAAGATTCACACACTCTGTGTACTGAAAGCATGTTAACACAGGTCTGTAAAAATCAGTTGGAAATCCACATTATGAAGAGTTAAGCTTGATCTCCAACTCCTTTTTGTAGTAAAGCAAGCTTATCTACCAAATCTACTTTAGTATATATTTTGTGGCACCTTATTTTGGCTTACAAATTGAGCTGAAATTGTGCTGTTGATGCACAATTTGCTGGGCTTAACTGTGAATTACATCCTTGGGTTGGGACCTGGTCCTTCAGAAAACAGGGAATCACATCTCCTGGGGTTGATGACAGCTCTGTATCCTCCTTCCATTGTTGGTCTCTGTGACTCCTCACAGGTTCCCTGAAACTCTCTTTCTTCTGGTTCTTTGCAGAGGCTCCACAGGCCCAAGGCTGCCTGCTCAGAGCTCTAGGAATGGGCTTTTCCAGGGGCTGGGCCTGAGTGAATTCCATAGGAGATTCAACAGACAGGTGGGGCTACAGCCCAACTCCTCTTCATCTTGGGGCTCTGGGACTTGGGTGAGAGGTTTCAAGGACTAAGCAGTTTTCCAATAATGTAAACTGCATGATGAAACCTTCAACAATTGATGTGAGCAGTGTGATTTGTTCTGAAGAATAAGAAAATTTGTGTATCCCAGTTATGCATCCAAAGATATTAGTGACACATTGTGTTGTAACTGCCTATTCCTCGCGGCAGATGCTTGTGGAGACATCATGAAGACCCAGTCTCCAACCTGCCTAGCTCTACCTGCAGGAGAGAAGGACAGCATCAACTGCAAGTGAGCCAGGTTCTCCTATTCTTTACCTGCAGAAGAACTATGTCATCTGGTACCAGCAGAGACCAGGACAGGCTCTTAAGCTACTCACATCCTGGCCATCCATCCTAGTATGTGGAGCCCCTGACAGATTCAGTGGCAGCAGCTCTGGGACAGATTTCACTCTCACCCTCAGAAGCCTCCGGCCTGAGGACGTGGGATTACTCCTGTGGACAGCATGAGAGCAATCCTCTCACAGGGATTTAGCCTCCTACACAAACCTCCTCCCCAGGGTCACGGGGGAGTGAGCTCCTGCCGTCCCAGCTGCTTCCTTCCTGCCCTGCTCTGTCTCTCCCTTGTCTGTAAAGCACACCTTGTCTCCTGCTTCACTGTGGAGTCTGTAGTACTAACCACAGATGACAGTGGAGCAGCCTGTCCTGGGTCCTTTACACAAGGAATTCAAGTAATCAAGACTCACTTCCTCTGGGTGCATTAGTAGATGTCATCCTCAACACTGGTTTACAAGCTTTTCACCTTCTCTTACTCCTCTGCCCTCCAAGCAGCCTCTTCCTCTCCCTGTCTCCTGAATTCACATTGCACTTTTGCCTGTTGCTGTTTCTTTCCAAAGTACAAAGTTCTGGATCCTGGATCCTGGGAATGTTATTTGAATGTGAGAAGGTATTTAGCTGATTAATTACCTAATAACTTCAATCTGGAGATTATCATGAAGTATTCGGTTGAATAATATAACATGGCATAATATAACTCTCTTGATAATAGTAAGGTGAGTTTAGTTCAGAGCAGGTGACAGTGGAGAAGGTTGCTGAATTGAGTGTAGCAAGGCACCACAGAATAGAACACATGGGGCATCCTGAAGCTGCAAGAATAGGGACTAGGATTCTCTGCTCTGGAGCTGCCAGAAGGAGCACTGCCCTGCTGTTTCCTTGTTTTCATCTCAGTGAGGCCTCTGACTTCCCTGACTGGGATGATGCGCAGTGTAAAATTTTACATCAAGAACATTACAGTAATTTAAAAATAATGTTTTTCAGCTAATATGAATATAGATTATTGCTGTTACCTCCGGCATTAATTTTCTGGGTGTGAGATCCTCCAATGTCACTGTGTTCTCATTTAGTGTCAGTTTGGCAGAATTAGACAATAGTTGATTGTAAGGTGGGAGCACAAATTCCTCTTAGAGGGAAAATCTCTTCAGTAAATCATCTTAGTGACCTCTTGTCAACGCAGGTGTGTGAAAGCCTGGGGATCAGTTATCAAAGAGTGTGAGTGAAAGAAAAGGTGCTGATTTGTTTGTGTCTCTGCTTCCATATTAAGAGGAGAAAATAAGATGACAGAGCTGAGTCTGAGGGATGAGAAGAATTAGAGCAGATGAGCAAATGGTCAGAGATGGGGGATAGTCTTTTTCCTGCAAATCAGAAATGTAACTACATGTGGTTTGTGAAGTTTTTGAGACAGTTGTATGTGGCTGGAACAAAAGCAGAGATGGCCAGATTAAAGCCATGGTGCAATATGGAATTAAGCAGGTCACTGTAATCCCTGGATTTCACACCACTCTGTTGTTTTTTGTTTGTTTGTTTTTGTTCACTGTCTCTAGTTATAGCCTCTAATATGGACTGAACTTGGCCATGAGGCAGAAAATACTTAAACATGTGTAAAGCTGGATAAAAATTCCAGATCTCCAAAAGAACACACTATATGTTTTGGGGCAAATAACCCATTTGGCCTGAGATGTAAGAAGACAAATTCTGGACCATCCATCTGCACATGCAGGCTAATCCATGGACAACACTGAGGACAAAAGGCCTACCTCTGAGGCTGCAGGCAGCTAAGAACATCAGCTCCAGGGCAGAGCACCACAGGTTTATCTGACTGTGCGCTCTGTGGCTGAAAGGGCATTGGATTTCTACAATGACTGTCTATTATCCCCACACCTAGAACCTTAAATACATCTTGGATTCTAATAAACTGCTTAAGGCTTCTGCTTGAAAGATCCATAATGCTTAACTTTTTACTGTATGAATTCAAAAGAATGCTGTAACATTGAGAACTCAGTCATAATCACTGTTTTCCTTTAAATCAGTAGAGATATGTAACACCAGCACATCAGGTGTCAAGTACAAAGAAAGGCAATAAAGGATCCCAAGAGGTCTTTCTCACTACCTTCCAGGGACCATGGACGACTGACTGCAGCTGAGAATGATTCTAAGCAGATACAGATTCCAGGACAAGCAGCTGGGGCAGCCAAAACTCAACTTCTGCTTGCCTGGGTATTTTGTTTTGTTTTGTTTTCAGGTTTCTATCACTGTGCTAGTACTACTAGAGTAACTGTAAGCAGCATAATCAGTAGTAAGTTCTGACATCCTCAGACTGCACCCCACTGATGGTGAGAGTGAATGATGTCCCAGATCCACTGCCCTTGAACCTGTCAGGGACCCCAGACTCTAAAGTGGATGCACTGTAGATCAGGCGCTTTGGAGGCTGCCCTGGTTTCTGCTGAAACCAGGCTAGAGCATTGTTGTTCTCAACACTCTGACTCTTCTGGCGATTGATGCTGACTGTGTTTCCCACAGTTGCATACGCCAGAGACGGAGACTGTGTCATCTGAACAGCACATCTGGAAGCTGAGAAGGCAAACAAAAACACCAACATCCTCTCTGATCATCATGTTCATGCAGAAGAGACAGGAAGATTCAGTCAGCAGCATTAACCACACAAGCTGAATTCAGTTCCTGCTGTTGTCTTTCCTCACCCAGCAGCCAGAGCAGGAGGCACCCCAGGAGCTGAGCAGGGGCGCTCATGTCCATGCTGTGTCCTGACTGCCACTGACTCCTGCACAGGCTGTGAGCAGCCTGCTCATAAGTGTGCAGGCCAGTGGGCCATGCCCCATGGCCATGTAAATCAGCAGCAAGGGAAGATATATTGCTGTCTTAACTTACTTTATTTACTCTATTTTGATGAAAGAAATGAGGATTCATATGTATTTAGGAGCCACAATGAAGTGACACTCAGACATTGTTAGAATCCGAATAATAAGAAGAAAATTTACTGTAGATAAATCTACCATCATATATTAGAGTTTTTATGCCCAGAGACTAAATGAGCTGCCCCTTTCTCATTATGAGGGCCTCTGCAATACAATTTTCTGTTATTTGCTCTCATTTCCTATACTTCATCACCATGAATCTCTGACTACTCATGTGAAATACCAAGAATGCAACTAGGATCAGTGTTTGCATTCATTGGCAGGTACCTAGATTAGAATCTACAAGAGATCAGATGAGTTCAAACCTATAACAATTCTTTGCAACAGACAAGAAAAAAAACCATGTAGAGTCTCAAGGTTAGTTTCTATGACATGGATTATCTACTACTGTGCACTCACGTGGACCATCTCTGGAAACAGCACATGGAGAACAGCTGAGCAGTAGCCCAGTGGGAAGGTCTATTTACTAACCCACCTGACTTAATGAGGATGCCTGCTGCTTTGTGCAGGGCTAAGTCATGCGCCAGATGTTCCTATTTCCTCTGCTATTCTTTATGGGTCAAATTGGGCATGTGAGAACTTGTCTGCCCCCTAACCTGGAGTGTCCATGGTGTCATGCTAGTGACAATAACATAGAACATTATGTTGGATTGCGATAGACTTGGACCCAGACTTGCACCTTTGTATCTCACACTCAGTCTATGCTCCAATCACCCAGACTGCATCACTAGAATGGGAAAATGAAGCTGCCACATCAGTACCAAGGAACATGGAGACCAGGGTATTAATGAGGCATGAGCACAGGTGACCAGACCATGAAGGTAGAGCCAGATTAAAAATTCCTGACCCACTTGGGATCTGATTTGTAAGGGAACCTGCTAGCCAAGAGCCTACCCAGATACAAGAGGAGAGGAATGCCTTTCCAGATGGAATATACGCATCATTTATGGGAGAGGGTATTAGGACAACCGCATTCTTCCCTCCCCATGATGAAGTTCTGACTACTGATGTGAAATGTGATGAATGCAGCAATTAGTATTTGTACTAAACTGCAGGAGCTTGGATTAACATCAAGAAGACCTTTTGGATGAAACCACACCTAGATCAATTTTATGCAAAAGATGAAGAAAACCAGCATGGTGCTCCCACCATAATGTCCATGGGTATCAGGCGTAACTCCTATGTAACATTGTCATGGAGAGCGGACGAGGAAAAAGCCAAGGAGAAAAGCATGTTTATTCATCTCTCTATCATATGTGAGGGCATCTTCTAGTTGGTGCATCAGTCCTGGTCCCGTACTGTAATTGCCTCATTACTCTTACATACTTTAGCAGGTTGGTGGGTTGTGAGAACAATTTGCTTTCTCCTTATCCAGGAGTCTCTTATTTGTCCTACTGGGGCCAATGCACACAGAACAGTATCCAGGATTCCAATTAGTCTTGGACCTAGATTTGCACCCCAGTATAGCACCTCTTTGCCCTCAGCTTCCCAGTGAAACAGAAGATGACTCTCAAATCATGACCTCAGTGCCATGGAGCCCTGAGACAATTGAGGTTTGGGTATTACGGAGGCATGAACACAGGTGACCAGAACACGTGTTCTGACACATCATAAACCTCCTGCTGCCCACCCTGCGGTTTTTATCTCATTTGGTGTCAGTTTGGCAGAATTAGACAATAGTTGATTGTAAGGTGGGAGCACAAATTTCTCTTAGCGGGAAAATCTCTTCAGTGAATTATCTTAGTGACCTCTTGTCAACTCAGGTGTGTGAAAGCCTGGGGCTCAGATTTCAGTGATAGTGTGTTCAGCAAGAGGTTCTTATTTGATTGCTTATATGTTTCCATAGTAAGAGGAGAAAATAAGATTACAGAGAATGTGAGACAACAAAGCTGAGTGCAAGGGATGAGAAGGGACAGAACTGATGAAGAAAGGATCAGGGATGTGAGATACTCTTTTCCCCGCAAATATGAAATGAAATCACCTGGGATCTATGATGGTTTTGAGACAGTTGTATGTGGTCAGAATAAAAGCAGAAAAGGTAGGATTAAAGACCTTTAGCAGGGCCTGACATGGTAGCCTAGTGGCTAAAGTTCTTGTCTTGCAGGCATCAAGATTCCATGTGGGCACTGGTTCTAATCCCAGCACCCCAGCTTCCCATCCAGTTCCCTGCTCGTGGCATGGAAAAGCAATCGAGGACAGCCCAAAACTTTGGGACTCTGCACCCGTGTGGGAGATCTGGAGGAAATTCCTGGCTCCTGACTTTGGATCAGTGCAGCTCTGGCCATTGTAGCCACTTGATGAGTTTTTCATCAGATGGAAGATCTTCATCTCTGTCTCTTTCTTCTCCTTATATTTCACTTTCCAATAAAAACAAAATAAATTATTTTTAAAATTTGATCTGGAGCAACACGAAACCATGCAGGTAGTGTGAATGCTGGATTTCTCATCACCTTGATTTTCTTGTGTCCTGTCTCTAGCTACAGACTCAAACATGGAGTGAACATGGGCATATGGAGGAATATATTGACACTAGCCTGGGTGAAAATGCCAGATCTCCACAAGAGCTCAACGAGTGTTTTGGGGCAAAAACAAACAAGCAAACAAACCCACAAAATCCTATGCCCTGATATTTGAATGTAGGAAGACAAATTCTGCAACATCAACTCCGACCTACCGGAAGACCAAGGAAGGAAGGAATGGAGAATGACCTGTGAAGTGGCAGGCAGCCACTTGGACTTCAGAGCTGAGACCACAAACTCAGCAGCCTGTTCTTCTGGGCCAGGATTCAGGGAGAGAAAAAAATCACAGGTTTCTACAATCACTCTCTCTGAACTCCATGTCCTAGAGATTGAAGTATAACTTAGATTATAATATACTCTGTTTCATATTTCTGCTTGAAGCATACATAATCTTATTACTTTATGAATCCAAAGCATGCTACAACTTGGACAATTCAGACACAATCACTTCTTTCCTTTAACTGGTAGAACCAGAGACATGTTGCAAGTGTCAAGTAGGAAGAATGAGAGGGAGGGTACAAGCGATCCCAGGCGCATTTCTAACTACCCTCCACTGACCATCAAAGAGGGACTGCATGTAATAACGTCTGTCAGCAGATAGAGGCCCCAGGAGGAGCAGCTGAGGGAGCCACACTCACACTTCTGCTTTCCTGGGAGGTTTTTATTAGGGCTTGTATTGCTGTGGTATCATTATCATCATCATACTCTCCAAAACAGTAGTAGGTTCCTGCGTCCTCAGCCTGCACCGGGCTGATGGTGAGAGTGAATGATTTCCCAGATCCACTGCCCTTGAACCTGTCAGGGACCCCAGACTCTAAATTGGATGCAGCATAGATCAGGGGCTTAGGTCGCTGTCCTGATTTCTGCTGGTACCAGTTTAGATTATTGTTGTTGTAAACACTCTGACTTGACTGGCAATTGAAGGTGACTGTGCCTCCCACAGGTGCAGACACCACGGATGGTGACTGGGTGATCTGAACAGCACAGCTGGCACCTGAGAAGGGAAACAAAAACACAAAAACAGATGCACCCACACTGATCATCATATTGTAGAGAGAAAAACTTCAGAAAGAACTGACCACATTGGTGAGTCAGTTTCTGCTGTTGTCCTTCCTCACCTGGGAGCCAGAGCAGCAGGAGGCCCAGGAGCTGAGCAGGCACCCTCATGTCCATGCTGTGTCTTGATTGGCACTGACTCCTGCACAGACTGTGAGCACCTGCTCATAAGTATGCAGGGCAGTGGGCTGTGCCCAGGGGACATGAAAATCAGCAGGAGAAGTGAGATTGCTGTGCAAAACAGAAGAGCCCAGCTCATCTCATTACTGAGCACAGGGAAAGTCTCCAGACATTCAGGTCAACCCTGCTCTACAGTAATTTACCTGCAGAGAACAAGATCCTTTCTGAAACATGTTACATGACAATGACAAAGTATTAGGCTCACTTGACAAACTGCAGTAAACCAAAGGACAGGATGGTATCATCCATTTGTGGTTTACAATTTTGGTTCTTTATATAGGAGATGATTTCTTGGTAAAGAATGTGCATATGTTTTTAAAGAATGGTGCATGCAAAGTGAAGTCTTTAGCCACTAGGCTATAGTGATGTACACGAAGATAATTTTTGATTCAAAATACATTTATACAAAGCCATCACATGTTATGTATTGCTTATACACACTTTTAGAAGTATGATTGTTCTTTCCAATATACAGTCCTGCTTCCCAACAACTCTCTCATATTTTCCATTTAATTGTTATAATGATATATATTGTAGTGTTTATATTCACAACTTGTTCCTCCTCCAAATAAAAATGTTCAATAAGTAGGAAGGATAAAATTTACTGTTCTTCAGTGGAAAATCCCCTGTCACTAACTGGACCTGAAGCATGGCTTCCCCTGGAGGTAATGGGGGAAGTCGTGTATGCTGCTCAATTTGGTGGAGCAGGTCATCAAAAATCAGAATATTCTCATAAGCTTACACCAATGACAGCGTCATAGTTTTTAGCAAAATTCCAGAATCATAGTCTTTGTTAGTCATAAAGAAATCAAACAGAAGTGTTTATCTGATACATCTTCCACTTTACTGGTCAGAACAAATATGTTCTGCCACTCTGCCCACTCTGCTCTGAGATCCTCCTCTGGGCAATGCCATATCTCAGGGCAAGTGGGGCAGAGGGTGTCCAGCTGCAATTTGTGCATCCTTGCATGGCAGATTGGATGGGGTAGAGGCAGAAGGGATGGATTGGTGCTGTCCCACTCCTGTGCTTCCTGAAAAAATGAACTGTAATGCAGGCTTATCCATGGTCAGACATCCAACCTGTTCTTTGAGAGAAGAAAAAGCTTTAAAAATTTCTCATGCTAGGCATGTGTCTGCAAGCAATGAATCTCAACCGAACTTGAACTATGGTTATGCAACAAGGTGGAGGAATCCACCATGGGGGGAGGGGTATGGGAGGGGTGGGGGGAATCCCCAGCGCCTATGAAACTGTACTACACAATACAATGTAAGCAACAATAATAAAAAAAAAAAAAAAAAAAAAAAAAAATTTCTCATGTTGGTTCACATGAAACCAGATGTTGATTATTTCCCAGATGTTGATGACCAATGGGCTGCACCAGGACATACACCTATTGGATCCAACTCAGACCCCCAAGTGTGTGACAGGGACCCAAATATGCAGTCAACCACCTGCTGCTCTAGCCACGTCAGTGAGGACCGAGATCAGACATGGAGCATTTGGGACTCAACTAATTCCCTGGTTGATATGAGATACTGATGTTTCCAGTAGATTAATCCACTGCACCTCAACATTGGTCAATATCCATTTGTCTCCTATATGGTAGCAAAGCTGGGGTTATAGCACTAAGATGTTACTGCTGTGCAGACAGAATTCAGCCCTTCGAGCAGTTAATATATGAAACGGTGCTCTGTTCCTCTCCCTGCACTCTGTCAGGTGGTGCATGATGCCTGTCCATCTGCCCCTTCAGGCAATGGAGTGAGGCAATATGTGCCAGAACTCTCCTCTGTAGATACTCTTCCTTTGTGTAATTTATTATATTTGTGAGTAGTAGTTATTTATTATTACTCATGAATATTTCATTTGTCATTTAAATATATTCTTAAATTCTAGATCATTTTAATGTTATTTTAAATGTCAGAAGGATTTTGAAAAGTGAACAAGCTTAACAGTTAGTTTTTGTGACACAGTTCCTCAGGCTCTTGGATTTCTGCTTTCCCCTTTGGCAATCTCCCTCCCTCACTGATTTCCCCTGTATTATTACAATAGCATAGACCTTCATAAATGGTCATACGTCCATCAATCTGCAATTGTACAAGACAGCACAGTGTTAAATTTGATATAAAGGTGTAGCTTCACACCATGAGCAGTGAAACAATTTATAAATAATAATTATTATCTAGTTAACACAAATGCAGATCATACTTTTTATCTCCCACATTAATTTTCTGATCTCTGATATCCTCAGATGTCACTTTGTTCTCATTTGGTGTCATTTTGGCAGAATTAGACCATAGTTGATCGTAAGGTGGGAGCACAAATTCCTCTTAGAGGGAAAATCTCTTCAGTGAATGATCTCAGTGACGTCTTGTCAATCCTGGTGTGTGAAAGCCTAGGACTAAGCTTTCAAAGAGTGTGTGTGGAGGAAGAGGTTCTGTTATTTTGGCTTCTCTGCTTCCATATGAGGAGGAGAAAATAAGATGACAGAGAATGTGAGAGGACAGGGATGAGTCCAATGGATGAGAAGGGAATGAACAGATGAGGAAAGGGGATGGATGCGAGATACTTCCATCTCTGCAGATCTTAATGGAATAATCACCTGTGGTCTGTGAAGGCTTTTTAGACAGTTGTATGTGGCTGGAACAAAAGCAGAGAGCTTAGGCTTAAAGACCTGTAGCAGGGCCTGGCATGGTAGCCTGTGGCTAAAGTCCTTGCCTTGCAGGTACCAGAATCACATATGGATACCTGTTCTAATCCCAGAGACCCTGCTTCCCATCCAGCTCTCAGTTTGTGGCCTGGGAAAGCAGTCAAGGACAGCCCAAAGCCTGGGACAGCACCTGCATGTGATCCAGAGGGATGCTTCATGGTCCTGGCTTCAGATTGGTGCAGCTCTGGCCATTATGGCCACTTGAGAATGAATCACTGGATGGAAGACCTTCCTCTCTGTCTCTTCCTCTCTTGATATCTGACTTTTCAATTAAAAAAATCTGTAAAGAAAAAAAAAAGACCTGGATCAATAAAAAATCATCACCCAGGTCAGCATAAAGCAAGACTTCTCATCACCTTGGTATTTTTTGCGCCCTGTCTCTAGTTGCAGCTTCAAATATGGAGTGAACATGGGCATATGGAGGGATACGTTCAAACATACACTAGCCAGGGTTCAAATGCCAGTTCTCTACAAGAGCTCAATGAGTGTCTTGTGGGAAACAACCCCTATGCCCTGATATTTGATTGTAGGAAGACAAAATCTGCAACATCAACTTGCACCCACCGGAGACCAAGGGATGGAGCACTGGGGAACCACTTGTCAGGCTGCAGGCGGCTGAGAGCATCAGCTCCAGGGCTGAGGACCACAGGCTCAGCATCCTGTTCCTTCTGTTCCAGAACGGCGTTGGATTCAGGGACACCTCAGAATCTCCTGTTTCCACAATCACTGATCCACACAGTCCTAGAACATTAAAGTACAACTTGGAATACAATAAATTCTGTTTCATATTTCTGCCTAAAAAATACATAATCTTGCTTTGTTGCTGTATGAGTCCAAAGAATGCTGCAAATTGGAGAACTCAGACAAAATCACATCTTTCCTTTACCTGGTAGAAACATGGACATGTTGCAAGTGTCAAGTAGGAAGAATGAGAGGGAGGGAACAAGGGAGCGTAGGGGCCTTTCTAACTACCCTCCACTGACCATCAAAGAGGGCCTGCATGTAACAACATCTGTCAGCAGAAGAGGCCCCAGGAGGAGCAGCTGAGGGAGCCACACTAGCACTTCTGCTTTCCTGGGAGGTTTTTGTTCAGGCTTGTATTACTGTGGTATCGTTATCATCATCATAAACTCCGAAACAGTAGTAGGTTCCTGCGTCCTCAGCCTGCACCGGGCTGATGGTGAGAGTGAATGATTTCCCAGATCCACTGCCCTTGAACCTGTCAGGGACCCCAGACACTAAATTGGATGCAGCATGGATCAGCTGCTTTGGACGTTGCCCTGGCTTCTGCTGGTACCAGGATAGACCAATGTCGAGGAAAACACTCTGACTTGACTGGCAGTTGATGGTGGCTGTGCCTCCCACAGGTGCAGACACCACGGATGGTGACTGGGTGATCTGAACAGCAGAGCTGGCACCTGAGAAGGGAAAGAAAAACACAAAAACAGATACACCCACATTGATCATCAAATTGTAGAGAGAAAAACTTCAGAAAGAACTGACCACATTGGTGAGTCAGTTACTGCTGTTGTCCTTCCTCACCTGGAAGCCAGAGCAGCAGGAGCCCCAGGAGCTGAGCAGGAGCCCTCATGTCCATGCTGTGTCCTGACTGGCACTGACTCCTGCACAGGCTGTCAGCACCTGCTCATAAGTATGCAGGGCAGTGGGCTGTGCCCAGGGGACATGCAAATCAGCACCAGAGCAAATGATATTCTTGTACCAACCAGAAGAGTCCAGTTCATCTCATAACTGATCGTAAGCAAAGTGTCTCCAGACATTCAGGTCCTGCTCTACAGTAACCTACCTGCAGAGAACATGATCTTTACTGATACATGTTATGTGACATAGCAGTAGGTACAGTTGAAAAACTCCAACAAACCAAAGGACAGGATGGTATCATCCACTTGCACTTCACAAGTTTGTTTCTTTATACAGAATATATATTTGTTAGCAAAGAATCTGCATATGTTCTTAAAGAATTGTGCGTGCCAGACGAGGTCTTTAGCCACTAGGCTATAGTACTGTGCCCAAAGATAATTTTTATTTCAAAATATATTTTTACAAAGCCATTAAGTGTTACATACTGTTTATACACACTGTTAGGAGTATGATTGTTCTTTCCAATATACACTCCTGCTTCCCAACAACTCTCTTTCTCATATTTTCCATTTAATTGTTATAATGATATATATTGAAAGTACTCCATATTTGCAGCTTGTAACACCTCCA